AGGCCGAGCCCAAGGCGTCGCCGAAGAAGAACGCGGGCCGCAACAGCCCGGACCTCCAGCGCCACCTCAAGTGGCGCAACGAGTACAGGTGATGCCGCGCGCGCGCGTAAGGACGAGGCCTCTAGCATTGGGCGGTACCATGAAACGGGGTCGCCAGGACGGCCCCGACGTCGGCATCCATCCGGAGGGGCTGCGGGCGCAGCACTACAGTACAACGTGATGATGTTGCAGGCAGCCAGATTCATATGGGCCTCCGAAGCTATGGGCAACTGTAGCCTCTGAAAACTCCGACTCCCGCGGTTCCTCCCCGGGCCCCCTACGTTTAGAGACGCGTCAAGGCAACTGTAAAGCAACCCGGGGTTAATTTTGACCCCCCGAGCTATGGTCACTTTTTTTTTTCACTTTTTTTTTTTTGCGCCGCGAGCCGCGGAGGGTCCAGGGGGTCCCCGGGGACCCGCCCGGGGCGTGCGCGAGCGCGGGGGGGGGGCGAACGCGCGCCGACCGTCGTAATGCGCCGCGCGGTCCCGCGCGGGCGCGACACGCGGCCGTCGCACGCGCGCTAAAGCGAGTTCCTCGACAACCCGCCGCGTCGCAGCGCCCTTCCCCACCCCCTGGTGCCCCGGGGGTCCGCCGGGGCGCGTAGGAGCATCGAAAAAAAAAAGTAAAAAAAAAAGTGCCAATAGCTCCCATAGCTCGAGGGGTCAAAATTAACCCCGATCTGCTTTAGCTCTCGCTCCTGAAAACACAAGTGTGAAAGGAAAATGGGCAAGAAGAACCGCGGCAAGGCGGAGAAGAAGGCGCGTGACGCGGCGTTCGACGCGCGGTCGAAGGAGTTCAGCGCGGCGAGCGCCGCGGCGGACGACGAGGATGCCGTCGTCGCGGAGGCCATGGAGCGGCTCAAGAACGTCGACGTGGCCAAGGAGGGCCTGCCGAACTTCTCGGCGCGCGAGCTGAACGCGCTCGGGCCCCGGCTCGGCGAGATCCCCGGGCTCGGGCCCGCGCTTCTGCGCCGGCCGGACATGGCGGCGCTCTTGCAGCGGATGACGCGCGCGAGCCAGTCGAACGACGCCGCGGCGCTGCGCGACATCGACCGGGAGCTGACGGCGGCCACGGGCGGCGCGTCCAGCGGCCACTCGGCGCTCGTGGACGAGTTCCGCGCGTGCCTCGACGGGCAGGACGTCCTCGGGCTCACCAAGCTCTTCGGGCGCATGGCGAAGAGGCCGGACGGCGATTTCCACGAGTGCGTCCTCGAGATGGTCGCGCGGCTCCTCGCGCGCGACGATTCGCCGACCTGGGTCTCGAGCCTCGCCGCCGCGGGCTTCGAGCGGCTGCTCCTCGCGACGCTGAAGATGCCCGAGGAGGCGCCGGCGCGCCGCGCGGGGACGCTCGGCGTCGTGAACTCGGACTTCTACCTGTACTACTGCTGCCACATCGCGCGGACCGTCGCGCGGCGCTCCTGGGAGCGCGGCCCCGCCGAGGTCGCCAAGGCGGCGGCGTGCCTCGGGCCCGCTCGGCGACTCGCGGAGGCGGCCGACCTCGCGCAGCCGTCGCTCTGCCGGCGCCGCTGCGCGCCCATGCGCTACAAGCTGCGCCTCGCGATCCCGGACCTCCTCCGCCTCGCGTCGAGCGGCCTGATCCTCGTGCGCCACGAGGCGCTCAACGCCGTCGTCCCGCTCCTCTCGCACTACCCCGAGCACAGCGCCTACGACAACCGCGTGCTGGGCGGGCCGCAGGTCGAGGGCGCGGAGCTGCCGCCGCTCGCCGTCGACGCGCTCGGCGACGCGTGGGACGGCGCCGCGGCGATCGCGGACGCGCTCCGCGCGGCGCTCGGGTTGCTCGGAATCGACGCGGGGACGTGGGAGGCGCAGCTCGAGACGCTCCACGGCCGGCACCAGGCGGACATCGTCTCGCGGGGCGCCTGGAGCGCCGCGGGCGCCGTCGCGCGCGGCCCGGACGTCGTCGCGTGCGTGCGCCGCGACGCCGCGTGCCGCGTCTCCGACCTCGTCGCGGCGGCGACGTTCCTCGGCGACGGCGCGCGGGCCGCGGCCGGGGCCGCGCTCCGGGCGGGCGGCTTCGCCGACGCCCTCGCGCGCCTCGCGGGCGACCCGGCGGCCGACGCGACGACGCTCGCGTTCCTCGGGCGCGCGGTCCACGACATGTCGCACTGGGCGGCGCTGGCGGCGGCGCTCGACACGCCGAACTTCGTGCCGTCGATGTTCGCCCTCCTCGACGCGCCCCGCGCCGCGCTCGCGCTCGGCGTCGCGGACTTCGTGCACCACCTGCGGCGCGCGACGCCCTTCGAGCGCGACGAGATCGCGCGGGGCGGGGATCTCGGCGGCTGCGGCCCCCAGGACGCGGGCGACTGCTTCGAGCGGGCCGTCCTCGCCGCGCTGCTCGAGGTCGGCCCGCTAGAGGCCGCGTTCCGCGTCTCCTCGGACCCGCGGGAGCGGAGGAGCGACCGGAACCTGGCCTCGGGCGGCGACGATCACGCGCTCGCGCTCGACGCGCCCGCGCCCTGGCTCGAGCCGGTCTGGGACCCGAGCACGCGGAGGCCGCTCCTCGGGTCGCGGCGCCCGACGGACTGCGGCGACGCGTCCGTCGAGGGCTTCGCCCGGCACCTGCTCCGAAGCCACCGGGAGCGGAACGCGACGACGGGGGAGCACGCGGCGCGGCTCCTCAGTCAGGTGGCGCAGATCTGCCGCGCCGCGGACGCGGAGCCCCGGGGCGCCGCGACGCCCAAACACGTCGCGCCGCTCGTGGGCGCGTCGCGCCTCGCCGTCGACGACTTCGACGCCGCGGGCGTCGACGTCCGCGAGCTCTGGTCCGGGCGCCGCGTCGCCAAGTCCTGGTCCAACGACGATCTCCAGCGGGCGCTGGAGGCGGGCACGATCCCCTTCGCCGGGGGGAACGTGAACCTGTCCGTCGTCGCCGACGAGACGTGCGCGCCGGCGGCGACGTACGTCTACGCGGAGGACGGGCTCCACGGCGAGGCCGAGACGTTCTGCGGGAGCGGCGTCAACGGCGCGCCGGGCCGCGCGCGCGCGGCCGCCCAGGTCCTCGCGAAGCACGAGGCGGACCGCGAGGGCGCCGGCGTGCCCCGGGGCGCCGTCGTCGTCGACGTGAGGCTCGTCGGCGTCGAACCGAGGGTCTGGCGCCGCGTCGCCGGCGTGCCGGCGAACGCGCCGCTCAGCGTGCTGCACGACAAGATCCTGGGTCCGGCGCTCGGCCTCGAGCGGGCGAGCCACGCCTACCTCTTCGAGCCCTGGGCGCCACGGCGGCTCAAGGGCTCGAGCCTCGTCGGTCGCCCCCGAGTTGCGTACGGCGCGCCCGACGTCGCGACGGCGGACGCGCTCTTCCTCGAGGCCGAGTGCCCGGACGCATTCTTCGCGGACTGCGTCGTCGTCGACGCGACGCGGGTCCTGCTGAGCGACGTGCTGCCGGGCCGCGGCGGGGAGGCGCGGCTCAAGTACTGGTACGACCTCGGCGAGCGGTTCCTCTACGAGCTCTCCGTCGTCGCGGACCCGCCGCCGGCCGAGGCCGCGCGCGCGACGCCCGCCGTCGTCGGCGGCGCGCGCTTCTGCCCGCCGGAGAACATGGGCCTGCCCACGTACTGCCGCGTGTCGCGGATCATCGCCAAGGGGCCCGCGCGCGTCGAGTTCTCGACGGCCGGGCCGGGCGGCTTCTGGGAGAACACCTTCGCCTTCGTGGCGCTCTCGGCGAACGGCTCCCTCGCCTGCGCGGCGCCCGGGCCGAACCGCGAGGACAACTGGAGCCCCGCGGACGCCCAGGCGCGCCTCGACGCCGTCGCGCGGTCCAACGTCAAGTCGCTGGCCGGCCGCTGCGACGTCGCGATCGACGCGGACGGCGCCTTCGGCGCCGCCGCGCCGCCCCTCGGCTCGCGCGAGGGGCCCCGGTGCGCCGCCTGCGGCGGCCGGCCCAAGGCCGGCGCGAAGCTGTCGCGCTGCGCGCGCTGCAAGAACGTCTCCTACTGCTCGGCCGAGTGCCAGAGGGGCCACTGGCCCAAGCACAAGGCCGCCTGCGTCCAGGTCGCCCGGTAAAATCCGCGCGAGACGGGGTCCTGTTAGGCTGTGCTAAGTTTGTTTCTTCAGCACGGCTCGCCATCGGCTCTAGCCGTCGGCCATCTTCCATCGACTATTCTCGGACGCCCGGACGCGTCCATCGCCGTCGTGTATCGTGTCGGACGCGTCCATCCGAGTCGCCGTTGCGCGCCGGCCATCGACGGCATGGCGTCGACCACGCTACGTCACGCTCGTTACTTCGCTCGTTCGAGCTGATTCGAGCAGCTCTCGCGCGCGCCTTGACCACACCAAGCGCCTCGCCACCGCCAAGCGCCTGCAGCATGGCCGACCTCGAGAAGGTCGCGCAGATGACGAACTTCGCGGACAAGGACGAGGCCGCGGCCGCGGAGCGGAACGCGATCTACGACCGGCAGATCCGCCTCTGGGGCAAGGACGCGCAGAAGAAGATCGGCGGCACGAAGGTGCTCTTCCTCGGCTTCGCCTCGGTCAACGTGGAGCTCTGCAAGAACCTCGTGCTCGCGGGCTTCTCGGCGACCATCGCCGACGACGGCGTCGTCGCGCCCGCGGCGCTCGCCTGCAACTTCTTCCTCGGCGCGGGCGACGCGGGCCGGAACGTCGCCGAGGCGTCGGCCGCCGCCGCCGCGGAGCTCAACCCCTTCGCCGCCGTGGGCCACGACGGCCGGGGCCTCGCCGCCGCGGCGACGGCCGCCGGGGCCGCGGCGCTCGTCGCGGGCCACGGCGTCGTCGTCGTCGAGGCGCGGTCCGGCGGCGGCATGGACGACTGCGCGGCGCGCGTCGACGCCGCGTGCCGCGACGCCGGCGCCGTCTTCCTCGCCGTGCGCTGCGGCGGCGACGGCGCCGTCGCGTTCCTCGACCTCGGGCCCGAACACGCGTACGTCGTCGAGACGGGCAGCGGCGAGAAGCTCAAGGTCTCGGAGCCGACGACGGCGCGCTACTGCTCCTACGACGACATGCGGTCCGTGGCCTGGGCCGACGTGACGCCCCCCCGGGGCAAGCAGCCGCCGCTCCAGTTCCTCTTCGACCGCCTCGACGCGCTCTTTTGGGCGTCCAAGTCGGTCGAGGGCGACGCGAAGAAGCGGAAGACGGGCGACGGGTCCGCGTTCGCGGCCTTCGCCGCCCGGGCCCTCGCGGACCGGGGCCTCGCGGGCGCGGCGAGCGAGGGCGACCTCGCGCGCGCGTTCGTCGCGGCGGCGGCGCCCATCGCGCCCGTCGCGGCCGTCGTCGGCGGCATCCTCGGCCAGGAGGTCGTCAAGGCCGTCTCGGGCAAGGGCGCGCCGACGAACAACCTCTTCGTCTTCGACGCGGCGACGGGCGCCGGCACGGCGCTCCGCGCGTCGCCCTTCGCGGCCGAGAAGCCCAAGCCGGCCGCGCCGCCGTCCGCGGAGGACGCCATCGAGCTCTAGGGGGGGGGGGCGTAACCCGACGACGCCTAGGGGTAGGTCCACTTGCGGTCCGGGTTCGCCGCGAGCTCCGCCTTGATGGGCTCGAACTGGCCCTTGTGCTCCATGTCGACCCAGTAGTCCCAGATCTCGGCCCGCGTCTCCTCGAACGCGCCGACCGCGCGGCACCGCGCGTACCACGCCGCGAGCTTCGGGAAGGGCGTCGGCCCGGCGCCGTCGAAGGGGTCGGCCCAGGCGAAGACGCGCGGCAGCATGAACTCCATGAAGACGCACGTCGGGAACCACGTGAGGTCCGCGAGCGACGGGTCGGCGCCGACGAGGAACGGCCCCGCGGCGTTGGCCTCGAGCCAGGCGAGCTGCTTCCAGATCTCCGCGATCTTCGCCTCGCGGCTCGCGACGTCGACGGACCGCCGCGCGCCGTGCCACGCCGCCGACAGGTACATGGCGCCCTGGGAGTGGGAGAAGCCCTCGGCCGTGCAGTTCGGCGACGCTATGTATAAATCGTGGCAGCGGATCATGAGGTTCATGAGCTGGCGGTCCTCGGGCGTGGCGGGCGTCATCGCGTCGTTGCGTCCGTACTTGTCCTCGAGGTACTTGAGGATCACGTCGGACTCGAAGACCGTGCCGCCGTCTCCGCGGACAAGCGCGGGGCACTTTTTCAGCGGGTTGACCTTCGCGTAGTCCTCGGACTGGAGGTCGTCGTAGGTGACCCACGTCGACGCGACGTTGTTGGCGATGTCGGGGTCGACGAGGCGGAGCCAGAGGCGCACGCGCGCGGCGTTGTTGCTGTGCCTCATGTCGAAGAACGTGGGCTTGTCGTCGTAGAACGCGATGGTCCGGATCTCGATGGACTTCCGCGGCGGGCTCGCATCCGTCGTCCGGGGGTCGTCGAAGGCCGTGTGGAAGACGAAGCGCGGGCCGTCGGGCTTCTTGTCGAAGACCTTGAAGACGAGGCACTCGTCCGCGGTCATGTCGGGGTAGTAGTACCAGGCGTGCGCGTCGCTGTGCTTCAGGCTGTAGTTCTCGCCCGTGCGGTCCGGGAAGCGCAGCTCGTAGAGGAACTTGTCGTCGTCGTCGATGGAGTTCTCGTCGCAGACCGCGAGCGGGTTCCGGGCCACGGGGCGGTCGGCGTCGATGGACCGCCAGACGTTGATGAACGCGAAGCGGCCGGCCGCGAGCGCCGCGACCTCGTCGGCACTGAGGTCGCGGCCCTTGAGGTGGCTGAAGATGCCCGCGTCGCCGAGCTGGAGCAGGCGCCGCGGCGCGCCGTCGTGCGTGTAGTCGCAGTGCACGCGCGGCACGGGCGCCGCGGCGCCGCCCGCGGCCGCGTTCAGATTCGTGTTGCCGGACTCGCGGATCGTGTGGTCGAAGACGAAGACGCGCGACGCGCCCGACGCGCGCTTCACGAGGTCGCGCATCTCATCGTAGTACGCGGCCACGACCTCGCCGTCGTCGCGGAAGTCCCCGACGGCCGTCGGGTGGACCTCGAGCGCGAAGCCCATGGACTCGAGCGTCGCGGGCTCCTCGAGCGCGCGGCCGTCGCGCATGGCGCAGGACCGCGCCTCGAAGGTGTCGACGACGTCGCCCTTGTCCTCCTGGTTGATGTAGCGGCCCGTCGCCAGCGTCGCGTGGGGCTCCTGGTAGTTGAGGTCCACGGTGATCGTGGCGCTGCGCGCGAAGCGCCGCAGGGCAGTCGTCGCGCGCAGACGCTCGAGTGTGGCACGCATCGTTCCGGCGGCCCGCGCGGGCAGCCGCAGCCCGAGAACGCCCCGCATCGTGATTCTTGGCTTGTTGGCTGTGGCGGGCTCGAGCGCGAAGAACCATCCGTGAGATTCGCGAGACGCCGCCCGAGCCGTCGTCGGGTGCAGACCTAATAATATTATGGACTCGTACCCCATGAGCGACTACGACGACGACGACGAGTCGCTCCATCGCCGGCCGCTCCTGCCGCACCACAAGCGTGACCTCGTCCCGCCCTGGGCGCAGCACGAGTCCGCGTGGCTCCGCGATGCCGTGGCGGCGCAGGACATCGACGGTGCACCCATCTTCGGCGCGCCCGCGCCGACCTGCGACCTGCGGCCCATCTTCGGCCGGTCGCCTTCCCGTCACAAGCGCAAGCGCAAGCGCGAGTGGATGGACCCAAAGATTGCGTGCCGCAAGTACCTTGCGGACTTCCACGCGAGCGGCCTCCTGCGTTGGGATTTCACAATTTCCGAGGGGCCGGGGCCGCCGAGATACACTATAGCCCACACGATGCGGGCCGTCGCGCGGGAGATGGGTGTGACATTGGTCCGCGGCCGCGAAGAGGAATGGACCTACGCGATTGAGCGCGCACCGCCGAAGAGCGCGCTGCAGTACTTCATGGGCGAGCACTTCCGCGAGCTCCACAAGAAGCACCCGGGCGAGCCCGTGGCCGAGATCAAGGAGATCCTCACGGCCATGTTCCCGAAGGCGCCGCCGGAGGAGCGCCGCAAGTGGGAGCGCCGCGCCGCGTGTGCCCCGGACCGCTACGAGCGCCGCGCCGCCCGCTACAAGCGCGAGATCGCCGAGTACATGGCCAACGGCTACGTGCGCGAGATCGCCGAATGCTACTTCGCTTAAAGTAGGGGCATGCAAATCGTTTGGTCTAGGGCTACGTCACAGTGAGTCTCCGCGTTCGCGCTCCCCTGTGCACAGCAAATTCCACCCACTGTAAGCTCCTTACTCGTCGAGCGCGCGGTAGTCGGCGAGGTGGCCGCGGACGCGGTCGAGGGACGCCTCGAGGTCGGCGAGGCCGACGCCGTACCGCTCGTAGTGGTGGACGTACGCGCGGGCGTCGAGCATCGCGGATACGCGGCGCTCGAGGTGCGCGAGGTGGGGCACGCACGCCGTCGAGTTCGAGAGGAGCGTCGCGGACCGCGGCAGCGACGCGGACCGCGGCGCGGAGACGACGACCTTCGACGGCGCCGCGGGGCCCCAGGGCGCGAAGACGTGCGCGGCGTCGCCGAAGGCGCGGTCCGCGGCGTCGGCCGCGTCGCCGCCGGCCGCGTCGCCGCCGCGGAGCGAGAGCACGTGGGCCAGGGTCGCCACGCGGACCTCCGGCGGCGGCGCGGCGCGCCGCTTCGCCCGCTCGCGCGGCGTCGAGTCGTCGTCGGCCCACGCGGCCCGGGGCGCCGGCGGCGGCGGCGGCGCGGGCGGCCGCGCGCGCCGCCGGAGCTCGCGGACGACGCCCGGCCACGTGTTCGCGTCGAAGGCCCGGCTCTCGGCCGTCGCGTAGAGCGGCGCGGCCGCCGTTGTCAGGAACCGGTACGACGGGTGGAAGCACAGGTGCCGCAGCGAGCTCGCGAGCGTCGACCGCTTCAGGGGCGCGCCGGGCCGTCGGCCGGGCAGGAGCGCCCCGCAGAGCTGGTGGGCGAAGACGCCGTTGAGCGTGTCGAGCGTCGGCCGCTCGGCCCGGAGCGCCTCCTCGGCGACCGTCCGCGCGACGTCGTTCGAGAGCAGGACGCAGCCGCCGCCGCGGCACGCGCCGTCCGCGCCGAGGTGCGCCAAAGTCAGCAGGGAGTTGCAGGAGCCGACGGCGACGTCGCCCTCGCGGTCCGGGAGCACGACGCCGTGCAAGGCGCGCGTCCGCGGGTACGCGTCGGCCGCGTGAGTTGCTAAGGCGCACCCCAACCCGCTGCCCGTGCCGCCGCCGCCGGAGCCGACGAAGAAGAGCGCGTCGAGCGCGTCGCAGCGCTCGGCCTCGCGGCGCAGCGCGTCGCCCGCGCGCGCGACCTCCTCCTCGGGCGCGGAGAAGCCGCGCGCCCAGTTGTTCGCGCACCCCCGGAGCCCCGCGTCGCAGCAGACGCGGCTGCGCCCGCCGTAGGCCCAGCGCCGGCCCTTGCGCGCGCCGCCGCGCGCCGCGCCGAGGGCCCGCGGCTCCGTGTCGACGAGCACGCTCCGCGCGACGCGGTGGGGGTGCTTCGCGTCCGCGGGGGCGCGGAAGAAGTAGTCGGCCTCGGCCTCGTCGGCGAAGTCGCGCGCCAGGCGGTCCAGCAGCTTCGCGCCGAGCTGGTTGCCGCACTGGCCCACCTGGATCGTCACGCACGACGCGGGCATCGTTCGCTTTCAAACTATGCGAGAGACGCACGACGCGGGCATTGTTCGCGTTCAAACTATGCGAGGGGGCACCATGCTTGAGCTCGACTTTTTAGTTGATCTTCAAGATGAACGATCAGTCAATGGGCAGCACCTGGGGCTCCCATTGATGCTGAGCAACCTCGGCGCTCGCGCATCGCGGTCCATCGAACAGCGCCTCATCTTTCGCGCGCTCGGCGCCGCCGCGCTGCAGGTGGTGGTGGTCGGCGCGGTGCTCCTGGCCGTGCAGAAGCCGAAGCCGAGCTGATCGCTTTCACACCGCTGCGCGCCGCACTCGTTACCGCTCATTACCTCGCTGCGACCGCGCCGCACCGCGTCTCCTCCCCGGCGCATCGCGTGGTTGGTGTTTTGCAGTTGAACCCGGCGGCCCTGAAATCGGCAGCATGAGCTTGGACGGGAGGTCGCGCCAAGCGCTCAGCGTGGTGCTCCACCACGATAGAGACGCTCTCGTCTCGCGCCAACGAGAGGAGATAGGGCGGCTGAGAACGATGATGAAGAACCGGTACCTGCGCGCGGCACTGAATCTGATCGACGCGAAGAAAGAACGAGACGCGAACTCGGGTCATCCAGAGGCAGTACCTGTGTGTGCAACCATTGACGAAGAAGCTCTCGGCCCATATTACAGCAACTACGGAGACGAACCGGAAGATTTTCACATTCCTGTTTGCGAGAAGCGCGCGATGATCACGGGTCTGTGTGCTCTCGGTTACCACGTCGTTGATCTGTCGCAAGCATTCGAACGTGTCATGCTTCAGGTTTTCTGGTGGCATGTTCCCGGATTCCCGAATCTGAAAGCCAGCGAAATGCAAGCTTTTTTCGTAGGGGTCACTCGCGTGACGCGGGAAAAGGGCTTACACGATCCCGTGCTCCACCTCGCGTCTCCGAATCCCTTCTGATCGGCCCGCAGAGAGCCCCCTACTAAAACCTTGGTTAGCATGGTTTTTCGTACCAGCGGTCCCAGGGCCAAACGACGGGACGCCGGGCCTCCTCATCGGCCGCCGGGAGCGTCGCGAGGAGCCAGGCGCCGCCGTCGTCGCGGTCCGGCACGTGGAACGAGACCCGGCCGCCGGGGAGCCGCGCCTCGTGGATGCGCGCCGCGTAGGCTTTGGGCAGGTCGAGGCGCACGTCCGGCGGGGGCTCGTCGCCGGCGTCGTCGGGCTCCGCGTAGCCGAGGCCGAAGTTGACGACGGACCGCGTCGCCCAGCGCCGGTACTGCGCCTCGCCGATCAACTTCGGCCAGTGGTCGCGCGTCTTGTCGTTGCTCACGGCGAGGGGCTGGTCGCGCGACACCGTCGCGAGCATCCAGTACAAATCGTCGTGGCAGCCCCGGGGCACCACGTACAACGCGCCCCGTTCCGCCCAGGCTTTGATCGCCGCGAGCTCGGAGTCCTCGAGCTCCTGGAGCGGCGTGCCCCCCGGCTCGTCGCGGGCCGCGGCCCGCGGCCGGCGCTTGCTGTGGTTCGGGACGACGGCCTCGCAGTACTTGGCCGGGAGGACGACGAGCACGACGTGGCCCGCGGCTTCCAGGTGGCCCGCGACGGCCTGCAGCTGCCGCACGCGGAACTTGCCGTGCTCGAAGTTCTGGTTCAGGTAGGCGACGTTCGGCCCGTCGAGCACGGCCGTGAAGGCGTAGGGGTGGTCCTCGAGCCACGCACCAAAGGCCGCGAGCTCCCGGCGGTCGCGCTCCGACGTCGCGTTGGCCACGTCTAGTAACCGCTCGCGGAACTGCGCGCGCTCGCGCCCGTCGAGACCGCCCGTGGGCAGCGTCCGGCCGGACACGCGGCACGTGCCGTCGTCGTCGACGGTCGTCGCCTCGCAGGTCGCGTCGGGGAGGGAGCGGAGCGCCGCGGAGACGCGGGTCAGATGGGCCGCCGCGAGGCCCGCGTCGTCCGCGGCCGCGCGCTCCCGCAGGCAGGCCGCGCAGCCCGCGGCGTCGCCGCTCCTAGCGAGCGCCTCCAACAGCGCGACGTACAACTCGTCCGTCGGCGCGACGCCCCCCGCGGCCATGGCCGCCCACACGGTCCGCGCGTCGCGGACGCGGTCCGCGGCGCAGAGCGCGGCGACGAGCGGCGCGTAGGTCCGCAGCTTCGGCGACGCGTCCTCGAGGCGCGTCGCGACGACGTCCAGCGCGTCGTCGAGGGCCCCGGCGGCGACGTGGCTCCGCGCGAGCGCCGTGTAGCTCGCCTCGTTGACGCCGACGCGGTTCCTGCCGCATGTCGGCCACGACCTCCTCGCACTCGCCGTTGAGGCCCCGGTCCGCGAGCACGTGGAGGATGCCGTTGTAGCAGTGCACGTTCAGGCGCGCCCGCGCGCTCCGCGCCTCGGCGTAGGTCGACAGCGTGCGCTGGTGGTCGTTCTTCTTGAGGGAGTCGAAGAGCTCGCTAGCCCAGACGCGGTCGGGGACGCGCGCGTCTGTTAATGCTGGGTTTTCTAGGACGGAACGGGCGGTGGTCATCGGAGGGGTTTTGTGTGGTGGCTGGAGGGACAGGGCTACCCCCAGCAGCAGCGCGACTGCGGTCACGCCCATGCCTCAAGTGCTTCGCCCAGACAAAGCCGATGTTGCCGCTCGCAAGTCGATCGAGGTGGGCCGCCCGATTTAGTCCACGCAGCTCGCCCGACCACCCCGGACCGCCCCGAGCGCCCCGGACCCTCCGGACGCCGCGCCGCGCCTGTAGAGACCCCCCGCGCCGCCATGGCGTCGATTTTCCCGCGGTGGAAGCTCGCGATTGAGCGGTTCGGTTGGCGGGGCGCGTTCGACCGGTGCTTCGCCATGGGCACGGTCAAGTTCGGCGAGTTCATCGGCGAGGACCACCTGGGGAACAAGTACTACGAGGACATGAACGAGAAGCACGGCCAGCACCGCTGGGTCGAGTACAAGGATCTGTGGAACTACGACGCGGCGATGGTGCCGCCGTCGTGGCACGGCTGGCTCTGCCACATGACCGACGAGCCGGGCCACAAGCAGGAGCTGTACCTCGAGCGGAAGATCGCGGAGATCGCCCAGATCGACAAGCACGACGACGGGCCCTACGCGCACCACATCGGCAAGACGGACTACGTCCACGGCCTCATGTACAACCCGACGCAGCTCAAGAACCGGGGCTACAAGATCGGCAACCTCCACAAGGCGTGGGACGAGCCCGACGGCTACTACAAGCAGCCGGGCTCCGAGGCCGGCGACGGCGGCGGCGAGTTCGCGCGCGTCAAGGGCTACGAGCCCTGGGACCCGGCGAACCCGGCGGGCAAGGGCGACGCGAAGATGACGCCCCTCCGGCCCCTGGACGTCAACTGAGCCGGGGCTAAGCCTATTTCCCTTAGGCGAGCCAGGCCGGACCGGGGTGACGGCGTTAGGTCTCTTTCTTTAGGCGAGCCAGGACCGGACCGCGGCGAGCTCCGCGGCGCGCGCGGCGACGACGCAGGGCGGGTCGTCGGGGTGGGCGAACATGAGGTCGAGGTGGTGCGCGCCGAGGTCGATGCGGACGGTCTCCGTGGCGCCGCCGGCGGCGTCGGCGACGCCGCCGGCGCTCCAGGGGTCGAGCGCGCCGTTGGAGAAGACGATGTTCGTCGCCGCGGCGACGCCCGCGCGGCCGCCGTAGGAGTCGGCGATCCAGCGGCGCCGCGGCGCGACGCCGTACTTGGCCTCGCAGTGCGCGTCGACCCAGGAGTCGTTCGCCGGCGCGGGCCAGAACATGTCGCGCACGCCGTCGCGCGGGAAGTAGGTCTCCTGGGGCAGCGTCTCCGTGCAGTACTGCCAGTCCCAGATGCCGTCCTCCTCGACGTCCGCGGGGAGCTCGTTGCACGCCAAGGCCCCGCTCGCGTTGTAGAACACGCCCGCCGCCGCGGCGAGCGCCGCGAGCAGGGCCTCGTCGCCGTCGAGCGGGCCCGCGAGGTGCTCGCAGGCGGCCCGCACGGGGAACGCGGGCAGCGCCACCTCGCCGTGCGTGAGGTACGTGCTCTCGTAGGGGTAGTTGCCCATGGCCATCGTGTCGAACGCGAAGAGCGCGAGCAGCGCGAGGCGCGACCGGTCGGCCACGGGCCCGCAGGTCCGGAAGATCCGCGAGAGGTCGTCGCGGTCCGCGCGGAAGAGCGCGGAGAAGGCCTCGCGGACGTTCGCCGCGCACGCGGGCGCCGCGCCCGCGGCCGCCGTCGCGTCGCGCGTCACGACCTCCCAGTAGGCCTCGCCGTCGAAGCCGTCGCCGTCGAACGCTAAAATTGGCGCGCTCGCGGCGACGGCGCCGACGACGGCCGCGGGGTACTTCATGCGCAGCCACGCCGCGAGCATGCCGCCGTAGGAACCGCCGAAGGCGACGGTCTTGGCGTTTTCCGCGCCGTACGTCGCCTTGATCCGCCGCAGCGCGTTCACGAGGTCCGCGAGCGCCTGCTCGTGCGACAGGTAGCGGAGGCGCCCCGGCTCGAAGGACGCGGCGCCGAAGGGCAGCGTCTCGCCGTAGTAGCGGTGCTCGACGAAGACGAGCATCGCGCCGAAGGCCGCCGCGTGCTCCCACATCAGCCCCGTCGCGTTGACGTAGAGCGTGACGTCGTCCTCGTTGCCGCAGTAGACGAAGATGGGCCCGCCGGGCGACCAGTGGTCCGCGTGCACGAAGACGCGCTGCTCGAAGGTGGCGTTCGTTGTGAAGTCGAAGTGGTCGAGGTTCTGGGAGACGCGGTGGAGCGTGCAGTTCGCCGACGTCGGGTGGGTGCCCAGCCGCGGCACCGCCACGGGCCGGCGCCGGGCCGCGACGCAGGCGACGAGCAACACACTGGGCAGCATGCGCATCATGGGCGGCGCGCAAAGTGGACCCGAGCTTTTGGTGACGCCGTTCGCGTCTCGAGTCGCCAATCTCGGATGGCTCCATGTGAAATTGCTCATTGCCGTCTGCGCGTGACGCCCGGTGTCATCGAGTTCGTTTTGAGGGGGGCGGGTCGCTCGCGGGGGCGTTCGTCGTCGCCACGGACCGGAGAGTCGACGGAGCGCTTCAAATCGCCCCCGACGGGCCCGACCGAGCGAAACGTTCTTGGAGACGGTGTTCGACGACTCGGACCTGCGTCGAGGCGGCGCTGCGCGCGATGGCGAGGTCGCGCCCATGCTGGGGAGATCGTTCTCTTGGCGACTCGAAGACCATCAACCCCCGCGCAGGCCCGGTCTACGATGCGCGAGATGCTCGCCGCGCTGCTCGCCGCGGCGGCCGTCGGCGTCGCCGCCAGTCCGACGACTTCGCCCACGACGGCGCCCACGGTGTCGCCCACGGTGGCGCCGGTTAGCCTGCCCCCGGGCCAGTGGGAGCTCGTCTTCCGGCAGACCGCGGAGCACGGCGGCGGCTGGTTCCGCTCGGAGGACGAGTGGGTCGTCAACGCCGGCGACCCGGCGAGCGCGCAG